TTTCCTTCCTTCCCTTTCACTCTCCATACGTTCGTCACGCTCACACTCGTTCGTTCAACCAAAGAGTTTAAAACAATAGAGTATTTAGGCCATAGATGTTACAATCCTACATATATATTATGCCTTATTCATAAAAAGTTACACCCCAGTTGATTTCATACTAAAAGTCACTTTGAAACAGTGTTAACTAGGGTGTAACTTTTTATTAACACTATCATGCATGTGTTAAGTAACTTAGAATATTGTGTTTAGTTTTTTACTTTACGATAATTTTTATGTTCACTCATAAACCTGATAATATCTTTAGTACTAACTAATAATATAACAGGTGTGGTTTAAACCCACAATGCTACATGCATAATTTATTACTTACAGGAAACCTACCAGAAGAAACACAAGGATTATTTTATACATAAAATATTGGAGAAAAACATTGCAGATACAAGGTTTGTTTGGTTTCTTTCTTATTCAGTCCTCTTCTCCAAAGTGAAATTTATATCGCAACACATACAGGATGTCCCAAAAACAATGGACAACCCTGTAACCATCGATAGGCCTCGCCATGGTCTTTTATGATTACTTTCATGTATGTAATTTACATACTGGTCCTTCACTTCTACTCAGTCTGCTTAGACAGAAATTTTGGATACTTTCCGCACGTAACTTAGTACGTCAAAGAGTGCATCAATGCAATATCTGTTTTCGTTTAAACCCTAAATCTACAAACCCTCTTATGGGCGACTTGCCATCATTTCGCGTTTCAGAAGCTAAAGCCTTTGTTTATACATCGGTCGATTATGCAGGTCCCTTCTTTATTACTCACATTCGCCGCAAAGGTGTTAAAAGCCAGAAGGCTTATATTTGTTTATTTTGCTGGCGCGTACAGTCTCCCTAACGTCCAATTTTGACCCCAGTAAAAATATCACCGTTTTCAAGATTTTTAAGTTTTTGTGCATTTCTAGAAAGAAGAACGGTCATCTGTGACCCAGGCCCGACAGAAACGAGACATACCTCAGTTTTTTAGTCATGTCTTAATTAATTAAATTATATATTTTTTATATTCGAAATCTATGTATAACACCAAAATATTACCCTTTGTTTTTGTTCAGGCGTTATACAAAAACTAATACAAAATGCCTATTTATCACCTAAATTGGTAAATGTATGTACCTAAATGTCTATTACAGCTGCTATAGAATGTATCTAGGTGACCTGGAGATACAGCCGGATTATACAGGGTGGAAACGGAGAAGTTACAAAATCCAAAAATTCAATGTTACCAGCTTCCATAATCTGTAACCTATTATTGGTACCATTTGAAAGAGCTCGTGAAGCACTTTCAGAATCAGTAACTAGTTTTTCGATATCTTGTATAGTTTAGAAATAATCGAGTGAGATCACTTATCGTTCCATATGTATAACCACCCTGTATAATCCGGCTGTATCTCCAGATCACCTAATTAACCTAACATTCCATAGCAGCTGTAACAGACATTTAGGTACATACATTTACCAATTTTGGTGACAAATAGGCATTTTGTATTAGTTTTTGTATAACGCCTGAACAAAAACAAAGGGTAATATTTTGGTGTTATACATAGATTTCGAATATAAAAAATATATAATTTAACTAATTAAGTCATGACAAAAAAACTGAGGTATGTCTCGTTTCTGTCGGGTCTGGGTTTTTTTTTGTATGGGGCGTGACCGTTCTTCTTTGCCACCTGCGATTACTTTTTCTCATGCCATTTCTACAAATGAGGATACTTTTCAATCTAGTTTTTTCCCTTATCACAAGGGATAGTTGGGCTATCTAAAGAAAAGATTAAAGTTCAACAAATATTAGTTTAAAAGTATGAAAATATTAAGAAATTGCAGAGAAGAAGGAAAAATTAATTCATTGTCTTGCACTTTTGATCAGCCAACGTGTAAAAAAAATGTAGGAAGACCATCGTGCCCATTACCTTAAAACATCCGGGTTATCCATTGTTTTTGGGACACCCTGTATATCTTTGTATGTGCGTTTAACTCAGTTCCTGAGATGTGAAAGCGGTACGAAAAGGGTGACTGATATATTGATGTGACCGAGCATACAAATTTGAAGTCTCGCTGACATTTGACGTCTCAAAAACACCTTCCCGTGCCGTTCCCATACCTCAAGTACTGTCTTAGGCCCAGAACAGACGGTGAAACGCAACTGCAACGAAACTGCAACTATCTGAAGATTCTGATGAATGAAACTATCAGGTATAATCAGGTGAGATACAGGCCAAGAGCTTCCTCGTTTTGGATTAAAAAAAAACTAAAATTGAAAGTTTCAAACTGGTCGCGTCATGTGTGGTCTCTCAACGGACGCTATGGCAGAAACTTAGATGCAACTCAAAAGTAACTAGCAGTTGCAGTTTCGTTGCAGTTGCGTTTCACCATCTGTTCTGGGCCTTAGTTAATCGCTAGACCTGTAGTTTGATAATTTACTGTTCCCTGTAGTTGTCATTAAAGTTTTAATTCTTTTTCCAGTGGTCTACTTAACGAGGGCTTCCACGATGAAGAAAAAGGTGAAAAAACTACAATTGAGAGCCCTGACGTCCTGCATACCCCAGTCATATTGGATGATGGCTCCTCTCTCAGTAAGTATTAAATGATTCATTTATGTTTAACATCAAGCATTATGTGTAATACCTAAGTACTTAAATACCGTCTTAAAAACTTTGTTTTGTAGTCAAGATGCCCAAATATTGTTCGATTTAAATTATGTACAAGTTCCAGGACCCAAGATTCGCCGAAATTAATTGGTGGCTCTTCACAAGTTTAACTTTGTTTTACATCCTAGGGCTAGGACATATTTTACCGATTTTCGACCATAAGCCCATAAAGTAATTTAAAATTAGCTATAAGATTGTATCGTGGTGCAACAACAACGATTTAATATCATTGCAGACGTCCAACACTACCGCTACTTTCGGCATAAGAAGCAGTCTCTCATATGGGATTCTTTACGCGCGCACTGGGCCCGTCTCGCGGGCCTTGAATGTGGGGCCACGTGCGCACAACTACAAGCTATGGGAGCCCGCGCGCCTTCTAGCGAACGCCGCGTACGCCTGTGAGTAGATAAACCCTTTGTGTTGCTTAACTGCACTCTATATGTCGCTAGGCTCTGAGCGCGGGCTTAGGGGAAGACTTAGGGCCAGTGTGGGGCCAGGTGCGCACAATCATAAGCCTTTTAGAGTTCGTGCGCCTTCTAGCGAGCGCCGCGTACGCCTGTGAGTAGATAGACTCTTTGAGTTGCATAGCTACACTCTAAAGGACGCCTGTCTTCGAGCCAGGCCACACAGAGGCAGGCTCGGCCTATTTGGGACCACGTGTTCGCACCTACAAGCCTTGGGGCCGTCTAACAAGTAGGTATCGCGTACACCTGTGAGTAGATATTATACCAATCCTATCTAGGGATCAGAGGTGGAATTGTGTAAAGCAATCGTAATCATTTGACAGTTCATAACGTACGATTATTCTGTCAAACGCTTTGTTTAACTGACTTAATCGTACGTTATGAACTGTCAAATGATTACGATAAATTTTCCCCATTCCACCTCTGACCACCCCTAGGGGCTTATAAACTATAGGTTGGGAGCCACAGCACACAGAGGGTGGACGAATACATTTTTTCGCCTGTGGCGGAAGGCCAGCAGTAGAAGTTGATAATAATGTTTATTATTATAAACTTTGGTCGATGCAACCTAAAGTCCCGACCGACTGAACTTCACTAGACGACTCCCTTCTCCCTTTTAGTTCATAACCTATTTTTAACCTTCCCAGGCTGAACATCTACGGGCTCAACGAGATCAAAGTGCCGGTCCAGTCCATCCTGACGCTGATCCTGTTGGAAGTCTTCAACCCTTTCTATGTGTTTCAACTGTTCACCATCGCCGTGTGGTTGGCAGAGCCGTACTACTACTACTGTATAGCGGTGGTGCTGATGTCCACGTTTGGTGTGGCCACGTCTGTTATACAGACTAAGAAGGTAGGGTATAGTGACTTTTTGTTAGAAATTGGCGGCCATGTCACAATGGCTGCCCTGTGACATTGGCGGCAATATAACATTGGCTGCTTTGTGACATTGGTGGTTCTGTGACAATGGCTGCAGTGTGACATTACTGCTGTGTGACATTGGCGGCAATGTCATAATGGGTTCTCTGTGACATTGGCTGCTCTGTGATATTAGCGCCAGTGTCATAATGGGTGTTCTGTCACATTAACTGTTCTGTGATATTGGCGGCAATGTTACAAATTACAATGGCTGCTGTGTGTTCACCACTCGAGAACTTTTCTACCCTGAATTAAAAATATATTGTTTTGTTTCACAGAACCAGCAGAACCTCCGAGCAACAGTCGAAGCGTATGACACCGTAGAGTTATGGGACGGTCGCACCGTAGACAGTCGTGCGGTGGCACCTGGTGACGTCATCGTGATCCCACGCCATGGGTGCACCATGCATTTAGATGCGGTCTTGCTTACCGGCGCCGCCGTACTCAATGAGAGCATGCTCACGGGTGAGTGGCAGCACTGATAGAAGCAAGTCTGTGACAATGGCTGCTCTGTGACGGCCGGTGGCTCAGTGACAGTGGTGGCATTTTGACAATAGACGACTCTTTAACAGCAGTTGATCGATAACAAATGACAATGTCGGCGAAGTGACATTGGCTACTTTGTAACAATGGCAGGTCGGTGACATTGGCGAGTCTGTGACATTGATTTCTCCATGACTTTGGCTGCTTTGTGACAACGATGGCTCTATGAGATTGGCGGCTTCGTGATATTGGTGACTCTGTGACAGCGGTGGGTCTGTGACATAGGCTGCTCTGGGTCAGCAGTCTTTATGACATTGGTTCCTCTGTGACATAGGAAAATATGACATTGGATGCTCCGTGACAGCGGTGACGATATGACATTGGCGACCTTGTGACATTGGTGGTTTTTTTTAACAGCATTAGTGATATAATCGAGCTATAATAATAGTTGAGTTCATATATTTATTATTGTCGCAGGTGAATCGGTCCCAGTGACGAAGACTGCGCTCTTGCGAACGGATCGCCCTTTTGACATGAAGGAACACTCGTCCAGCATCCTGTTCTGCGGGACCAAGGTCATACAGACGCGGTACTACAACAACGAACCGGTTAGGTTAGTAAGAAATAAAGTATTTTATTAACAACTAACATCCTAGCTATAGGGTAGTTGAAAGTCAATTTACATACTTTTTATGAGTCAATACGCGACTTGCATATATTATTATTTTCTACGACAAAGTTTTGATATAAGCCATGAGGCTATGACGTCACTGGTTGAGTTAATTGGCGTAACCTTTTTTTATTTTGCTCATAAATTACCAATTTCTATTAATAGTCCCGCTAACTTTTAACTTGGCCTAATAATAATGATATTAATTTTATGTCCCCAGAGCGTTGGTCCTTCGAACCGGATACAACACGAGCAAGGGTCAGCTAGTACGCAGTATTCTATACCCTGCACCGGCAGACTTCAAATTCGACCGGGATTCCTACAAGTTCATCTTCATACTTGCCGTCATCGCGCTCATCGGACTGGCCTACACTGTGGCTCTAAAGGTAAACCACATTTGAGTTGATGATGTTATTCCATAGGATAGGCAGATAGACAAGTGCAGGCGACGAACGAA